ATTAAATCGACTACATTTTTTTATTGGGCCGATAACAATAACTTTAAAAATGAACATATCGACCGATACCGATATGGTGGCCGATATATCGTGCGGCACTAAAAACAATAATATCTCTAGATGTCTATATTTAAAATAGCAAATTATGTTTTAAACTCATTTCGACGGAATAACGGTATCATTATAAATTTGCACATTTTCCTGCCAAAAACAAACAGTGGATAGAAAAAATGTAAAATGTGATGACAGATGTTGACATCATTAGCTATTAGTCATATACATCTATACATCTATAAGTAAAGCAAAGCAAAATAAAAAAGCAACTAGAGAGTTAGTAAATCACCCAAAACATTTGAGAAGAATTTCCCCTGGACAGCAGAAATGAGAGAACTTTATTAAACCGGATATCTATAACTGATACTGACAGTGCTGACTATGGGAAATACATTAAACTATTGCCTCCTCCAGCGTCTCTCTTCCCCTCAGTAGAGTCATGTCAACTGCATTTATCCTTTAAGTGCTTTTACATGATGGATGTTAGCGCCTTCAAAAGGGCGTCAGATAAAGGCCAGAAGCAACCGCTTGAGTCTTGAGTAAGTGACAGACGCTTCACGGGTCAGCAGGGAGATTTTTAAAGGTGAGAGTTTAGGTGTGGAATAAAGAGGTGATATTTGCTCACAGAGATGCTACTTTCACTGCTGCGGATAAAAGCTCTTCCTTTTCGCTGAGGCCGTATTTAACATTTACGTTACTTTTAGATGCTGTTTTTTTTTCAAATGAGAGTTTAAGACAGGCAAGTAAAAATGCTGGAGACTCTACTACACTGAAATGAACATTTTTGCCGATACCGATAAATAGGGTTGGGTATCGTAACAAAATGTTCGATACCAATACCTTGACTTATTTTAGGCTTATTTAAGACAGACTTGCGCTGCATCCTTTTTTTGAAGTGATTCCAATCATATTTCAAGCAATTCAAAACCATCATGTTGAACAGTGCGCATCTGAAGTGTCTCAGCTGAATGAAATAATCCATTATTTATCGGCTTTAATATATCGACCAAATTTTTTTAGCAGGCCGATACCGATAACATTAAAAATGAACATAAATCGGCAGATACCGATATGGTGGCCGATATATCGTGCATCCCTAGTAAATATTGATATTTGAAGCTCATTGTTCAATCTAAACTGTGGTTTTAATTGTTCGGATATCTAATCTTGATCTCCACGCTGATGGATAAAAAAAAATAATCATCATCATCAGCAGGAGTTTGGGTTCGTCCTGAGACCAACAGAAGAAGACAAAACTTCAATGAGTGTCCTGAAGATAGGATGATCTTATGAAGAAACCACAGGAGAATAGAGTCAGTTCTGCCAATACACTCTTAATCTAGAGATTGGAAAGTGGGATTCTCATGTCTGGTTGTCTGACATTAGCAGGCTTCAGACGGTGTACATCAGAGAAACAGCCACAGGCGCTCTGAAGATAGACAGAGTGGGCAGGAAAAGAGAAACTTTAACATAAGTGTGTGTGTGTGTGTGTGTGTGTGTGTGTGTGTGTGTGTGTGTGTGTGTGTGTGTGTGTGTGTGTGTGTGTGTGTGTGTGTGTGTGTGTGTGTGTGTGTGTGTGTCAAACCTATATACAGAACGAACCCTGCGACCAAAATAAGATGCATCACAGAAGAGAGAGAAAGAGACTGACTGAGGGAAACCGAGGCGTTGAAAAAGAGAAAGGATGAATGATTCAGAGAAAACACCCTAATTAACATCTCTCGAGTTCTTTGCTGTCTCTTTATACAAGGTTTAAACTGATCTCTGAGTCGAGGGCTAATAAAAGCCAAAGCACAACCAGTCAAGACTTTAAAGGAACAGATCACTCAAAAACTCTGATGTCAGCTTGACTGACAGATTAAAATAGCTTTAAAAGCTTTCAAGTTTAAAGGTTATGGTTTCAAAGTTATACAAGCCTAAAAAAACAGACAGATAAAGAGATGCTCTGGTGCTTTAAAGACCCCAAAACACTGATCTGAAGACCTCTGAAGAACGATTCTTATCTCTACATAGTTATGCATAATTAACTATACAGAATAGCAAACTCGAGATAGATTGAAATTGTAAGATAGATGGATATATAGATGGATATATAGATAGATAGATAGACAGACAGACAGACAGACAGATAGATAGAGTCACTAACAGACACACAGAAAGAAAGGAAGATTTGAATGGAGGAAAGTGAACTCATCTTCTTCTTTTATCTGTGAGGAAGGAACAAGCCGTGTCTCCTGAGAAAACAGAACAATGCATTTAGCAATGAGGAAGAGCTGAAAGAAAACGGCAAAGAAAACAGCAAAACCTCTTTGTGTGGCTTTAACAAGGCGAGAGTGAATGCAGTTAATTGTACGAGTGTGTTTTATACGAGTGTGTGTGCTCTTTCTCCTGCCAGCTTGTCTTGCAGATGTGAATAACACAAGAGACTGCTATCAGACACAACAAGCTCACAAAAAAACAGCCATATGTGCATATATGCACACTAGAGGTCGACCGATAGTGGATTTCACCGATACCGATAACTTGGTTTGGCCGTACTTGCCGATAACCGATTAATCAACCGATAGTTTTTAAAATGGATACTGGATAAAAAACAAAAATAACACATATAACTAATGCAAATAGCTTAATATTTGACATTAAGCATCTAGTAAACCAATTAATTACTTTATAATGATATCTAGTGCTGCCGCGATTAGTCGACTTAGTCGACGTAATCGACCATGCAAATTAGTCGACGGCAATTTTTTTAGTCGACGTGTCGTTTTACTATTGACCGCTATTTATTTTTGGTCTCCCGTCACAAACGGCTCACTGTAATTCACCTCCACACACCAGTCTGTGCGCCGTGTGCGCCCTGCTGGTTTATCTGCTATCATTTTCCTTCACGTTCCTGCCCGCCTTCACTGCTTTGATATGAAAAATTGCGGAGGCAGGTGACGGAGCAGGTGACGGAGGCAGGTGACGGAGCAGGTGACGGAGCAGGTGACGGAGGCAGGTGACGGAGCTTTCACAGTGGGCTCGTTTGCTGCGGTCCGAGTCTGAGCGCGAGCGCGATTGTTCCCGGCGCCCCCCGCAGCGTTGGTCTGGTTTCACACTCAATTCTATCGAACCCTGTTGAGTTTGCGTGCATCTTATGCCATCGCAAACGTGCACGGCGCATGATAGAAAACAGAACGCAGGTCAATATATTGTGTTTTTCAAACGGACTCTTTTGAGGAGACAGTGGATTTCCAAATGTGTTGCCCTGATTCCACGCGCAATGCGCGAATACACTGCAGGCTCAACTCTCGCGTATTAGGGGTGGAACGGTACATGTATTCGTATTGAACCGAAACGGTACGGGCGTCACGGTTCGGTGCACGAATTTGCACGCAGAATACACGGTACAAATAAAAAAAAAAACCTCTTAAATAGCGATAAATTTCGCTCTATTCGCTTTTGGTGTGACTGTTAACGCAGCAATGAACAGGCTGCGATCAAGATTGCAATGCAGGAGTGTGTGTGTCTGTGTGCGCGCGAGAGAGAGAGAGAGAGAGAGAGAGAGAGGCGCGATGAACAGTGTGTGTGTGTGTGCGAGAGAGAGAGAGGCGCGATCGAACAGTGTGTGTGTGTGTGCGCGCGCGTGCGAGAGAGAGAGAGGCGCGGGCGCGGGCGCGAATCACGCGATGAACAGTGTGTGTGTGTGTGTGTGTGCGCGCGCGTGCGAGAGAGAGAGAGAGGCGCGGGCGCGAATCGCGCGATGAACAGTGTGTGTGTGTGTGTGTGTGTGTGTGTGTGTGTGTGTGAGAGAGAGAGGCACGGGCGATCGAACAGTGGAAACGTAAAAACATACTCCGTCATTTTTTTCATACAGGACATCATTAAAACTGAAAATTGTTTACTTATATTTGTGTACACTGGCAATAAAACACAACATTGTGCTTTTGTCACACTCTAAACTCTTGTCAAACTGTAACCTACAACTGTTAACAAAAGTTTTTATGGTAGTATTATTTTATACGGAAATCAATTATTTATAATTCAGATGCGAATAAAGTTAGTTAAATAAAATGAAGGAAAACAAATATCTTGATCTGAAATAGCTAATTAATTTTAAATTCATTCAGGTACAATTACCAAACATATCTCAAGATCTTTTCGTCTTTTTAATAATTTAATTAATAAACTAATTATATAAAACTACTGTCAGTGCACTACAAATAAACTGGTTCTATGCCTTTATTAATAAAACTTATTTAAAAAAATACAAGGTTTAAGACATTTATAAAAATGCCTTCTGCATTTTTGCTTTGCTTTTCCCTCCATTGTACCGAAATCGTACCGAACCGTGATGTCTGAACCGAGGTATGAACCGAACCGTGACTTCTGTGTACCGTTCCACCCCTATCGCGTAGGTTACTTAACTTCCTGAACAAGCGCTCCCGAGTCCGTGTTGCTTTCACATTCACGCGAACCGCGGCACGGGCCCGCCATGCACGCAAGTGTAAACGCGAGCTACATAACTGCGTCACGTGCCTGCCTGCTTTCAGCAATATTATGAAGCTGCAGACTCGGAGCCTGCATCTACAGTCCCCCACCGAGAGTCCCGCATTCTCAGACCCCTCGTTTTTCGAACACAGCGCCTCCTGCTGTTCGAAAGATCGTATAACACCCCAAATAAATGATCCAATAAATATTTGCGTTCCCTGCTTAATGCATGTGCCAAAAAAAAAACTCATTGCGATGGAAGGGATACAATTGCAGATTGAACTCTCTTCTGAAAAATAGTATGTGATATTATATTGCTACAATGTTTTTTTTATATTTTTTTTATTCAAATTCCAATTTTTCTTTCAGTTCAATAATGTTCTAATTAACATGACCATGCTAACATTGCAAAATCTGTTTTTTGATATTTTGAATGCGAAGCAAAACAAATCAGAATAGACAAAACACCAATAATAAACAATTCTGTACTTTATTTAATGATCACCTAAACATCATCTTGCTGTAAAGAAAAAAGGAAGAAAAAACTGTGTTCGTGACTTTACTTTTCGTCTTCAATTGCATTAAAAAAAACTAATTTATAAGTCGCTTTGCATAATCATAAAATGATATGTTGCTGGGTTCGGCAGGGGCGACTCCATCGATGTATGGTGTACCCTGGAATAGCCTACAACAGTATAGGCCCGATAGCACATGTCTTATGATGTTTCAAAAAAAAAAAAAAAAAAAAAAAAAATATGTTTGCAAATGTTACCTTCATGTTGCACTGCTCTGTTGAAGTGTCCCTTGAGATGTTTTTGAAATTTGGACAACTTTGTGGGTTTGAAATATGAGGGGGCACAAAATGGGCAGTGAAAATAACTGCAGCATTTATGACATATCTACAAAAAGTCCAAGGTTAAAGGCTAACGTTAGCTATCAAAATATTTTCGGGGGGAAGAGGGTGAAAAACATACATTAACGGCTCAAATCCTGTTACAAACTATCTTTACAAATATTAAATGGACTATTCATATGTTGTATCGATGAGCTAAATTAGTTTTATTAAAAAATAAATCAAACGAGTAGGCTACTACGATTCGCTAAATAAAATTGAAGATAGCCTACTCACGTTTTGGCTTAAGTTCTTCACATGTTCTTCACATGTTTATCCGATACAATTTGATAGGAGGCGCTGTCTCGAAAAGCGAGGGGTCTGAGAATGCGGGACTCTGGGTGCAGGGGGACTGTAGATGCAGGTCTCCGAGTCTGCAGCTTCATACTACTCGCTTTCAGCGCAACTCATAGTGGGCTAGTCCAGACTCTTTCAATTCAATTCCAATTTATTTGTATAGCGCTCGGCTTTTCACAGAAAATGCATTGCATCTACTTTACTATTCAGAGTGATGTTATCAGTAATGCTTTTCAGAAATGTACATAAATTAATCATTATTAGCTTACTGTACATTTTTTAAGGCAGAACAAAGAGCTAATTTAAGTAATACATACAGGGCTCGAATTTCGGCGCGGGATTGCGGGTATTGCGCATAATTCTAATCATTCCCGCAGGTCTCTCATTTATAATGCGGGAAATTCCCGCAATCGTAATCCACACAGATAATAAAATCAAATCATTCTTTTAACAAATCTTCCAGACGTAATTTCACAAACAGCGTTGATCGTGAGTGCACTGTAAACCCTAATGCTCAAAATAATTAATTGGTTTGAGTAGGACAAACTTAAATTAAACAAATTAGTTCAGTCAAATTAACTTTTATGAGTATTTAGCACTTTCTTTTTCTTTCAAGTTCACTGAACTGATATATTTTAAGTAAACTGAACTGTTTCATTGGTTTGAGTTTTATGAAATTATTTATTTTAATTTAGACGAACTTAAGTTTAACTGAAACAGCTGGGATGTCTATTTCCCAGCATGCTTTGCCGATGGCACTCGAAAGGGAGAGTAAATGCTAAAATTAAGTGTAATATAATGTTTTTTTGTGTGTAAGATTAATGTTATATGTGAGATTTAGTAGTGATTCATGTTTTGTTATGCTAATTTAGAAGAATTTCTGTTAATGTTGGCTTTAGGATAGTTACCATCATGGTGACAAGTGGTGCGTGCAGATTGATTTGAGAGCAAATAATCCATTTATATTGCTGTGCTCATACAGCAAGTGTTTCTGTATAACATACTATTGCTAATATGTTAGCATTTACTATGTTAGCAGATTAGCTTTTTAAAGCTAACTAAGTTTATACTAATAAAAGTATTTTGAGTTCTGCCAACTTATTTGGGTTTACAATGTACTCCATAGATTTAAGTTATATTAGTACTATTAACTTTATTTACCCAAGTTATCTTAACAATAAGTTATTGAGTTACTTGAACACAAATCAAATATTTTTTTAAGCTTAAATTGTTTGAGTTAATAAACTTAAATGATTTAAGGCAATCGGTTTCCTCAAACGGTTTGAGTTGAACTAACTCATCAGGTTTTACAGTGTGTTTAGTGGTGCCGCGCGTCTATCTCTTCTCTCATAATGTGTTGTGCAAGGCAGGCATCAAGCGCTGCATGCGGCGATAATACACACTCGCGTTTTGGAGTCGGGACCATAGACTGTAAGGTCGGGACATGACAGAATATTCACTTGCACAATCGGGCCAGCAGTGCATCGTGACTGAAGTCTTTTTAAGTCCATTTTAAACATTCAAGTGATTTTAAACTAATCAGTGCTCGCGCGCTCTCTGAGAGATTATTTTCTATGCGCACATTCATAGAAAATCCGCCTCAAAAACAGCTGGCCAGTAACTATTTTTCGCGGATTTTATTGCTTTAACACGCAAAATTGTCAATTTCGGTCTTTGTGAGTAGGCTATACTCTAAATATAGTCGGTTTTGTCTTTAATAAGCATAAAACGCATGCCAGTATAATGAACACAGGATCCGTGCACTAGCTCTTAAAGTGACGGCAGCCATATGTGTCTGTCATTAATTTTGTTGTCAAAACAAAAGATAGCTTTAAGTTAAAGCAATCAGGATTAATAGCCTATGTATTTAATTTATTCAGGACTAAAATACTACCCAGTGTTATTTTCCATTTGATTACTTTATTCAGTTTCTGTATTGTTAGACCTATTCAAAACTTTTCTCTTTAATTATCTTTATTTGTATCTTTATTCTATTGTATTTATTTGTGCTACTTTTTTCAATTTAATTAAACAATTTAAATCAAGCTTCCTTGTGATGTGTAAATTCTTAACAACAATATTACCCCATTGTAAAAATGCATTGAGCGCAAACATTTAGGCAAGATAAATGTAATAATTTTGTTTGGAAAAAATGACCCCCCCTCCCCTTCTCCCCCTCAAACAAAAAAAATCCCCCCCTTGAGAATCATCTGAGGGGGGATTTCCCCCCCATTTTCCAAAACGAAATTCAGGCCCTGACATACATGTTTGTTATTAGAGGATTAGATTAGGACTCTGACTAATAAGGTATAGCCTAATGGAAATGCAGATACTTATGCTTAGATTGTTAATACATAATGTTTTTGAACAGGTGACATTTTATGTTTTGGCCCTTCAGTTGAGTTCAAAATAAAATGGACACAACGAAATAAACACTTGATTTTTTTTTAATTAGTCGTTTAGATTAGTCGACTAATCGAAAAATTAGTCGAAAGATTAGTCGTTAGAAAATTAATCGTTAGTGGCAGCACTAATGATATCCTCCTGGGACCCAAGAATAGACTTTTATCCACTGTAGTGGACATTATATTTTAGTGAATTTCTCTGACATCATACATGTCACATGACACAACCTGGGTGTCCTGTAAAGAGCACATTCAGGACTTTTCAGAGATACCAAATGTTTGGAGGTTTCACCATGAAAACAACTTCTGGTAACGCTTTAGATTACAGCCCGGAAAGTACTGGGTAATTAAAGCAATTTTACAGCGTAACCTTCGGTAATTATAGTGTACCTATAAAGTACTTACAATATAAGTATAAGGGAACAATGTTTTAAGTTTGGGGAATAAAGGGGTAACAACCAGGAGAATTAAAATGTATTAATATTGTGAGTATTATAGAACTAAGGGGTACTTATTCTACTATTATGATACAACAATCTTACATTTGTGATCAATTTAGCAAGAACATACACTGCGTACCTTTTTGTAATAATGGTGAACCAGTACATAGGCTTTATAAATAGATATAATAGATATGTACCCTGTAATTTTTAAAATGTAATCTTTTTAACAAAAGTGCACTGAAAACGAAAACTATTGCAACTTTTGCTTAAATATTGGGGATACTCTTGTTTCATGTAGCTTGTTACCCTCTTGTTCCATGTAGTTACAGGGTAAGTGTGACATTGCGGGCTGTAAATTAAAGTGGTGCTTGTTACCCTCTTGTTCCATGTAGTTACAGGGTAAGTACAATAAAAATACACAATCTTATATCACTGACTCGGAAACCTTTATTTATTATACAAGCACCACTTACCCTGTAAACACATGAAACAAAATATATTTCCCAGTATTTAAAAAAATTGCAATAGTCTTAGCTTTTCTTGCCTTGAAACATGTTAGCCCAAACTTAAACATCTGCACTTTTGCTATAAAAAATATAGCAATCTGCAAACCCTGTCATTTTTAAAAAGCCTATACAGTATGTAATGCCTTGGTACACAATTATTACAAAAAGGTACGCAGTGTATGTTCTCGCTAAATTGCTCCCAAATGTAAGATTGTTGTATCATATAGTAGAATAAGTACCCCTTAGTTCTATAATACTTACAGTATAAATATATTTTTAATTCTCCTGGTTGTTACCCCTTTATTCCCCAAACTTTACATATTGTTCCCTTACATGCAAGTACTTTATAGGTACACTATAATTACCGAAAGTTACCCTGTAAATTCCTCTTAATTACACAGTACTTTCCGGGCTGTAATCTAAAGCGTTACCCAACTTCTCCTTGGTCTTTAAAAATGTCTGACATTAATTTAGTGATCAAATGTAGCATTCTTATGGAAATATGATAATATAGTGTAATTATAATATAAATTGGACTACTTTTCAAATTGTATTTCATAAAACAACATCTCAGGAAAATGTTAAGGGGTTTAAAAAAAACAACTTTCTGTTACAGAACAGGGCATTGATTTCAAACGTGTCCACTGTAGAGGACATCAGGACTAAAATCATGTTTATCAGGCATTCTGGGAGACACAACAAGTGAATATGGAAATAAATTATACATCAATATTCCTATGAAAAGTTAGATATTATTATTAAAATGTTGCCAATTATTACTCCAATTATTACCCTTTATTCTTTCATTAAATGTTGCTCCCAGAACACATTAATGTGCAAATTAGATACAGTGTATAGATACATTGCATTGAATGGGAATATTAACTTATGGCCATTTTACCCACATATTGCAAAAAGTAAAATGGTGTATCAATTCATTCCATTATTTCTTTCATTGAGAATAATCTTTATACAAATTTTGGTTGAAAAAATCCTGAAACCCCAAAATGTATTGGTGATTGAAAAAAAAATCCCATTGTTTTTGCCAAGACATATAATTTCATGTCATTTTATTTTTTAAACAACTTAGTCCTGGCGTCCACTACAGAGGACATAGCATAACGTATGAATAAAATATTATTTTATATATATATGTTTTTTTACCATTTGTTTATTGTGCTCTAAACAGTGTGATGACATGGAAAAAAACTAAATTCAAAAAACTTTTTTTTTCTGGGTCTCAGGAGGATATGGCAACATTTCACTGTCGGTTATCAGCTACCGGTGCCGATCGACCTCTAATGCATACATATAGAAGAACTGAACTGAGCTGGACGATGACATCACTGTTTTCTCCAGAGCGGCCAGATATTTAAATGAACTAAATTAATAACTTTTTTACAACAAAAATGAACCATCACTGAACTTACTTAAAGGTGCTCTATGTAACTTTTCTACTAAAATGAATCCTTTTTTTATTGCCTGTGTGTGAAGGGGTTGCAATCACACATTACAATGATCCACTTGTCGAGTTTTGCTATTACCTCTGAAGGCCAGTATTCCTATTTCTATGTGAAGTCTCCGGGTCGGATTTACCGCGAAATCCACCGGATGTGACGTACATGCGCGCTCCCGAGCCTCTCTCCTATATACAGTCTATTGTAGACGGTCAGGGAGTTACGTCCGGTTAAAGGCGCACGTTTTTCGGCTTATATCTCAGTCAATCTTTGATCAATATTC